TTCTATGTGACAAAAATTTTAATAATATCCATAATGCTTTCTCCAGATATATTCATTTTTATCGATCTAGCGTTGAAAATTTGCATACTAGATGGCAAAAGGTTGTTGATAACGAGGGAAGTTACGTCATTGATTATAAATAAAAACGAGTTAAAATTTTATTTGTTTGAATTTAATGTAGAAAAGCGACATTACAATCCGGTCCCCCTAATATAATTTTTCCTAATTATAATAATACTTAATTATAGGCTTAACTTAGTTGCAGTAATTTTCTACCGGTGAGATTTTAACGTAATTATTTTTCCATTATAAATGCAGGACAAAAGGAAATTCTGAAAATGTATGGGTCAGACTGCATATGTGTGGATGCAACTCATGGGATGAATGGCTATGAGTTTTAGTTGCACACATTATTGGTGTTGAATGATGCAAGAGAAGGATTCACATGTATATTTTTAATATCAAATCGGTCTGATGAACAGGTTTTTGTTTTATTTTTTTCGATCATTAAGGACAAATGTGAGTTGAATATTAGGCCAAAAGTATCCATGTCAGACATGGCTGATTCATATTATAATGGCTGAATTTCGGTATTATTGAACTAATCATGTTGTTTGAGTAACTAAAATTCATTATTTTTTAGATTATATTGTACATGATATGTGGACCTATCAGGGAGGAAAAATTAAAAACAAATAACATCTCAAGAGAAACAGGTATGTATAGACTGTAAAAGTTTAAAAACAGTTGAATATTTATTAATTTCAATATTTAGGTCAGTATATATAAGAAATTGAGATATGCTCCAAGAGATAGATGTTGAAGCTTACAAACTCATGAGTACACAATATGTGGAACAATTATTACAACATGATGACACGAAATAGTTTGCACATTACTGTCATATATATTATATTAAAAAACTGTGTCTTGGGCATATTGCTATAGGCTCAATGTAGGCATCAATATAAATATGCACTTGAAAGGATGCATAGAATAATTAAATACTTCTATTTAAAGATAAATAATTTGATAATATTATTATGGCTAGTAAGGGGAAGATAACATCAAAAATAAATACATCAAAAATAAATACGATACAGGCACAGGGACAGTGAAAAACTAGATTTGGGAATGGTTTTGATTGGTAATAAAGGTCTGTACACAGTCGAACCAATATGTGTAAACATATTTGCTACAATTTCCAAACCGCGACTCTGTGGTTCTGTATACTTTGACTAGGTTGAGTCTCGTAAAGGATGATAGTGTGCTTGTAGATAGGACCGCAAGTCTTTTATTTCAGATGATGAAGAAGAAGACTGCTGTTTACTACGTCTACTTTAGTTCATTGTGTCAGCAAGAAGGAGGAAAACAAATCATGGTTGGAGCATGGTTAAAATATGATTTTCAATTGATTATGGATAGCCATACAAAATGTAAATTTTGCAGAAGATTAGGATAAGGCGAGTAAATTAATGGATTTATTGGAAGAAGAATTTAATCCTCAAAATAAAAAAAAATTATTTACCATCAACCTACCCTGTACCATCAATCTCCTCTGCACCATTAACTTCAACACACAATTAAAATCCTCCCCAAAAGGAGGAAAATAATTCAACTTCTCAAATCAAAAACAAATAATAATAATAAAAACACATCAATAACAAAATATAAAACCCAATAAAGACAAAAACCACATGAAAATGAACAACCAAATCAACAACAATGAAAAAAAACAAAATCTCTTCTATTACTACTTAAAAACAAAATAGTGTTTTAAGATGATGATTGGGAAAAGTTGGAAGGTGATGGGAAGATGGGAATGAAGAACAAATCAGAAAAATTAAGACTGTTTTTTAATTAAAACTTACATAAATAGAAATAAATAATTAGAAACTCTTTTAACAAACATAATGATAATAAAATACAAGAATGGAATAGTAAGAGATGCCACCATTGCCTCCACTAGATTGCAAAAAAACAACAATATTTTGATGAGTGCTATAATATGCAGCACTAACTTGGCATCAAAGTGTCAGCATTGTGGAAGAAAGAATCATACTGTCTAGATATACCTGGCAGAAATCATCAATCAACAAAAGAACTATAAAATTCAAATTCAAACTAAAATTTAAAATGCACATAGGGAAGATCTTCCGTTAAGTGTGAACAAACATATAAAACCAATACACAGACCACTCACAATCAACTACATCAATATTGGAAGTCAACAACTCAGAAAATACAGGCCGAGTTGAGTATTTTTTTAAAATTATGGGTAGACTTCATAAAAATTAATATATACGTTGCAACATTCTCCGTCAACAAATAAACCAATATATGAAAGATGTACCAGTCGTGATGAACGATATAGTTCACTATACGAGTATTTCACTATACGAGTAAAAATTTTGAAACGTATTAAACTCGTTATGTGAGGTTCCCTGTATATTATAAAGTGCAATATAAAGAAATTATATAAATAAAAAAATGCAGATCTTCTATATGATGAATTATTTTTCACTGATAATTTACGATAAAGAAAAAAAGCCACGTTAATTATAAATATATTTTGTAAAGAATTACAATTAACATTTATTTATGGTGACTGTAGTGATGTAAATAGTATACTACATCACATAATCGCTATAGGGATATATTTACTTAAGCAAAAATAAGCTTTTCAAAATAAGAGTGAAAATTTTGCTTGTCAAGATAGGATATCTAATTTATATTTAATTTCAATAGAATAAGAAATTTTGGACACTACTGAAACAAACAATATAATTAAGAAATTTACCAGCTGAAAGGATTTTTTATAATGAAAATTTATAAGAATTATTATAGATATTATTAAGAACTACCGCCTTTAAAATTTCTTTTGCCATATTAAAAATAATTTTGTTACGTATTGTTTGAACAGAATATTGTATAATTTGAATAGTAGTATATAGTAATAAATGTAATATAAAGATAATTCTCATATTTATTAACTTCCAAAAACTATTCTACTGTACTCAGTAATATTGGGTAATTTCTCAGAAGGGCGCCTTGCATGTCTGCGGCTTTCTCATTTTCATTCTCGTTCTCCAGCACATATGAGAAACAAAACAGAAAACTGTAGAGAATATATAAATGTTATAGAATACACATTTTAAAGCTAGAATGACAGTTATAAAACACAATTTTAAAAATAGAGAAATGGAAAGAAATTATAGAAAACATGGATTTATGTTTTGGATCAAGTCATTGAAGATGGGATCATCGGTTTCTAGATTTTGCACCAGTTTGGCTGGAGGGAATGGGATTTTTATTATTAGTTTTGACCTGAGACATTTACTGGGAGGAAGTTTGAATAAAGAAAGGGTGTGGTAGTTATGTATTTGTATTTCTAGTATAGTCTCCATGTGGAATATTTGGTATGACCACATATTGAACATTTTTTCTTCTCCTTGACTTGACTTTTCTGTACAATGGATAAGCTCGTTTAATCTGAATAGTGGAGTTTTCACTGATAATTATTTTCTCCATAGAAATTTTTTGCATAAAACCTTTGTCGTCCATTTGCTCAAAGCCTCCAATACCGTTATAGGAGCAGCGAAGAGGATAATGTCATTAAAAATTTAATTATATTCTGTAATAATTTTGCTGTTCTTGAGCATTAGAAGATAAATGTAGATGTTTCTACTATTATTAAGATAAGTGAAATTGATTACATTGCAGCAGCCAAAAAAATAATCTATTAATTTCGAGAATGCCTGGGAATATATTATTTACTTATTATATCTGTATACAATTATTACACATATTATTAAAATTATTAACTGCGTTTTCCTATAAACTGCTAATTTTATATTGATATAAAATTCAGTATTCTTCTAAACATAAAATAATACATTCAAAAATATCATAGTCGTGTTATTGAACAATCATCATACATTTTACTATCATCGTACGAAATATACGATGATGCATTATTTATCTGTATTTTTTCAGTTTCATCCCCCTTCACAAATTTCTTGATTTTCAAAAACGTCCTGTTAATATACGGAATCAGTTTCGGAACGAATCTTTTTGTTATAGATTCCAAACCACTCACTTCCTGTTCTTCTTGTACCACAGAATGAAATGTATCATTAAGGAAACTTTCCTCAGAATGAAACTTCTTTTCTAAGCCTCTGCCATTTGCATCAATATCATCAATATCTATTGCTTTATACGACTGTGCTCGTCCGAAACGGTCTGCCCATTCTGCGGATTCATTTAAATTTGATTCGAGGTTCCTAGGAAACTTTGATCTGAACGATCTCCTCTTTACCAGGTTGGACATAGATATTGATTTCCTCATTTTATACATTCTGAAATTATAAAAAAAAAATAAGACACTTAAAATCATTTAATGTTAGTAAATTCTAAATTTTTTGAATTTATTTATCCCAGAGTGATCAATATTTTAATTCTAGAATAGATATTTCGATCAACTAATCCTAAAATTATCATTTTATAAATACCTGACACAATTTTTTGAAAAAAATGCTTCGTAGCGTCAATTGTTCAGACTTGGAGTGAATACATTTTTTTTAGCGAGCAGTCATTATATATATTTTCTCAAACAAAATTTTATCAGTATATGAAAGTATAAAGTCTTTTTTTCTGGAAATTGTGCCCACTTTATAACGGAATAAAACGGCCTGTTCTAATATTTAAAACTACATGTCAAATGGACAATGAATATGCTTTTACGCGGAAACACAGATATACTTTCTAATTTTATTATTTTAAAATATATATTCGCAAGTATAAAAACCTGAAAACTGTTCCTGTATAATCTCATATATTTATTTGATATTTTTTTCTTATCTTTAAACGTGTTATTTCTTACATATAGACTAAATGTGTGCACGTTTTATCTAAAATTATAGTATCATAACTGTAATATAGAGGACATTTTGGTTTGAAGATGAATTTAAGGGTAATTTAAATAATGATTAAGGAACACATGAACTTATACAATTATCTTTATTGTTAATTTATAAGTTTTAAAAAATCAAGTGTTTAGCAATGTCGGTAAATTGACAATTTGCCAACGTCACAACTCAGGTATAGATAATAAGTTGCTTATTATCTATACCAAAGCATGACTTTTATACATGAAGCTTAGACTTTTAGTACTAATTGTTATAAACATAGATACAAACATTATTATAAATAAATATGAACAAATTCATTTAAAATATTACTACATTTCAATGATATTTTATATAAAACGTCAGAATCAGTGTAATAAGCAACAGAAATTTGTGAAAATCGAACTTTTGTTTTCAAATTAATCATCTTTCCGCTTTTTATTCACTCTCAGAAAACTGAAAAGCCTCTCACACAAGTTACTCCTTCTCGGTGGTTCCTCATATTTAAAAACGTATCTACTTGATTCACCGCGATCATCATCGCCCACTGCCGCATTCAGTAGGCTAATTGTTTCCTCTGAATCTTCAGAAGATGACCGATACAACGGGTTGACCGCAAATTTCTTATTTTCCCCCTGTAAGTATTTTGATTATTTAATTTATTATTGACTTTTATGCAAGAAAATGAAAACTCACAATAAATTCATCGACTCCATCCAGGACCGAGAAGGGATTTATTGTTACCAAAGGTTGCACAGATTTGTCTCCTTTCTTCTTCTTCTTTTGGATTTGCAACACTGGTTTCTTTATGTTTATATTAGATGCATTGCCCTAAAAATGTTTTGATTATTCCATTATTATTACACTAATGATATACATTTAAATATAAATGAAAACTTACTTCATCAAACTTTTTGATTTCAGTCTCGACCGTTTCGGGAGCGTTCATAATCAAAGATTCAAATGATTTAACAGCACTACTGCTTTCGGGTTTCTCATCGCTTTTTTCTTTTCCCTCGCTGTTCGTAAGTTGTGTGAAACACTCTTCCTCGTGTAAATCATGTTCAGATAAATCTTCTACGTGTTTAGTCGACATTGTAACTGGAGAAATTTCAATAAAGACAAATCTCTTTTGATAGATTCAAATTCAAGTCAGTATTTTATATATACTAAACGCATCTTTTTAGAAAAAGCAATGATAAAAATACAGTTTTTTAAAGCAATTTATCAAAAAAGATGTAGCAAAATTCTTGATAATAATAATTCCTAGTCTAGTTTATAGCTTTGCAATAAATATTTATATTTCATACAAATCTTTTACAAATATATTGCTATTAAAAAAAAACTTTAAATAATCGATGTACTTTCTAAGTTTATTATTTCAAAATGTAGATATCAAAACTTGAAAACTGGTCTTGTACATTCTGATATATTTATTTAATATTTTTTTGCCTTCTTTAATCGTATTATTTCTTACATATACAGAGTAGCCCAATTGAACTTCAACCAACTTAAAACTGCTATAACTTTCGAACCGCTAGCATTTCATAAAACGTCAAAAATCAGTGTAATGAGCAACATAAAGTTCGAAAAATCGAACATATGTTTTCAAATTAATCCTCTCTCCGCTTTTTCTACACTCTCAGGAAACTAAAAAACATTTTACAGAAGGTACTCATTCTTGTGTAGTGTCCCGGGATTCAAATATCTCTGGACACTGTGGAATATCTCGTAGTTATGTCGTTGTGGAGTCCTAGTGGAGTTTTTAAGGAATGCTAGAGGTGAAGTTGGAGTTTTTATGATAATAAACACTTTATTATTTACTATAAGATTGTTAATGACTTCTAAGTCTAGATTCCAGTTGCTAGACTTGTTACTAGGGTTTTATGAGTCTAACTAGGACTTGGGAAGACTTTCTACTAAGACTAAAACTAACTTGGACTAGGAATTTAACACTGTTTCTTTAGGACTTCTCTGTATTAGCTAAACATCCTGTTATATAGTAGTGAATTAGCATAGTAAGAGTATAATATTAAGTAATTAGGCAGATGTACATATTAGTGGTCAATATTGATTGGACCTCTGAGTTTGTGCACAACATGGTGATTAAGAACAGTCGTTACACAAAGATTAGTTATGGGATCTTCCTAAGTGGTATTTGTTCTAAGTCTTAATGACTTACATACATAAACATGTATAAAATAATAAGGGCTAACATAATATACACAATAACGGTTATATATAACACTCGGTAGTTCCTCATATTCAAAAACGTATTTACTCGATTCACAGCGATCAGCATCGCCCAATGCCGCAGTCAGTAAGCTAAGTGTTTCCTCTGAATCTTCTGAAGATGACCGATAATACGGGTTGTCCACAAATTTCTTATTTTCCTCCTGAAAGTGTTTTGATTGTTTAATTTATTATTAACTTTTATGCAAGAAAATGAAAACTCACAAAAAACCCATCGACTTCTTCCAGGACCGAGATGGGATTTGTTGTAAGCAAATTTTGCACAGATTTGTCTTTTTCTTCTTTTCGATTTGCAACGACTGTTTGTTTATATTTGTATTAAATGAATTGCTCTAAAAGTATTTTGATTATTTTATTTATTATTACACTACTGACATACATAAATATAATTGAAAACTTACTTCAGCAAACTCTTTGGTTTTTGCCTCGGACGTCTTTCAGAGTTTTCGGATTATATCTGGTGACGTACTCCTGTATCTGGGCTTCTCAAATAGTCTTCGTATTCATCTTCAGATGATATCTCGAAATTTACCTTCTTGTATGTAGTATCTAAGTACTTGTATATCACTTCCATATTTGGTTTTATATCCACTCTAATTTTTTACGGTGAAGTAGATTTTAAGTTCCGTTTTTCTCACTGTTCGTAGGACAGCGAAACGCACATTTTTATGTAAACCGTGTTCAGATAAATCTTCTACGTATTGTATTGACATTATAACAGGAGCAAATTTAATGAAGACGAATCACTTTTTTTTCAAATCAGTGTTTTGTATATACTATAACACATCTTTAATTTATAAAAAAAGATATAGTAAAATTCTTGAAAATAATAATTCCTAGTCTACTTTATAGATTTGCAGTAAATATTTATATATCCGACAGATCTTTTACAAAATATTGTTATTAAAAAAGAAACTGTAAACAAATTACTACACATGAAAAGCAAATTGAATTATTAAGACCTTATACATTTATAAAACAAAATATTTTGTGTACAAATTATTTAAAATTGTATTTGTTAAGAAATTTTCAAAATATCCTATAGTGAATCCCGACTAATTGAAGCCGTGCAACGCGAGATATTGATGTACGCTCAAATCCATGACTAATTAAACATAACTTATGTACAATATTATGTGTTTCAAATTGTAGAATGATAAAAACTGCCTTTATATAAAATAAATCGAAACCTAGATGATTGCTTCTTTAAAGTTTTATAACTGTAACTCATGAAAAATATTACAAAATAATATGAATACATACAATTGTAAACAATATTCACATCATAAATTGATAAAAGAAACCGAAATTCTGTTCGAAAAGCGACGTGATTTGTGTTCGGGATTCGTGGTTCCACGGTATCTGTTTATTACAACTAAACATATTATTTATTTTTAATCATTTACATTTTAAATAATTTTGATTTATAAAAAAATATTATTTATAAAGTAAAATATTTATTTCATGAAATCATTGGAAATTATTATAATGCTTTTATGAACTATACTAAAAACAATTAAATACTTATTAATATGTAAATGTATTTTATTTAATCAGTATTAACTGGTTGGTAGAATTTTTCTATAATTTCTGGATCGTCGTTATTACAAACCTCGCTCATCTTCGGTTTTTGTAAACTCAGTGCTTTTAGACACTTTTTAAAGACCTTCTCGTATACAGGTTTCTTTCGAGTGAACTGAATATTGCATACATATTCCTTGTCTGGATTTGTCGAAGATGTATTGTTTAAAATTTTGTTTGTATTCAGATTTGTGTTTTCATAAGATGACGAAGATTCACTTACTTCCATCTTACTCTTCTCAACGCTTGTATCCATCTGTAAAATATTAATTTACAATGTATTATTTACTTAATTATATTTAATTATAATGTAATTTAGAGAGGCGTTCCTCAACCTATGCGTCGCGCTAAATTTTAAATAACCCTCGAAATGATGCTGTCACCTTGCATCAAACAGAAGAATGTAAACAATTGGATTGCAGTACAATTACAAATAAACACATTGAGTCGCGCCGAAAAAAGGTTGAGAAACGCAGAAGAAGAATATAATAAATTTTTGGAATATCATTGTTAAAATGTTATTTTAGTTAGTTAATAGTTAGTTAGTTGTTCAGATTGATAACTGAGAGTTTGCGTTTATGAACTCACTATACAACTAAAAATGACGAAAAGAATGAATTCATAAAGATTGTCTTAAATATGGAAATGTTTACTCTTCTGAATAGTACAAGTGTATTTGTCGAAAATCTCAAGTGTAGTGAATAAAATATGAACAAGTTAAGCGTTTAAAACCAACAGTTTGTATTTATTGAGAAACAAAAATCATAATAGATTTTTTTTCTCAGAAAATCGAAAAGAAAAATTCTTTATAATTTTGTTTTCTCTTTTATGATCGGCTGTTTTACAGTGCAATAGTTATTTTATAAATATGAAAATATTTTACCTGCGTTGTATGATTTCAATTAAAGTCAGCTACGATATCCCATGAAAACTTGCTGCACATGATGTACATGAAAATAAAAAACCAAAATAAATACGTATTGAGTATGTTGTCTCTATTTCATTGGCAAATACGCTGCACGCGGTTTCATAAATAGATTTTTATTTTGTTAAGTATAAATAGATGGAGGCACTTATATAATATGCTTCGTTGGTAATACTTGCGTATAAAATTCATTTTCACGAATTGACACGAAATATAATTATTTAAAAAAATATAATCGTACATCCTTTGGTCATAATTATGTCCAATACATATTTTAAATAATATCGAAATGAAATAGACGTTTGCCAATGGAAAATAATAAAATTCCCAATTTTATTCAAAATCTAAATAATCTGAAGATATGTTAATAATATATGATTTGTTTTTATATACTTTACCAACGCAAAATTATGCAGGATGCTAGAATATTAATTTTTTATATACAAAAAGAACATAAAAGAAATCTATTTTTAGGATCAAATCTTTATTAATAAATTATGTTTCTTTTATTTTCATTTATATTTTTACTCAATTTAATAAAACTTCAGGTTAGCACCACTGTTTCATGATGGAATAGAATACAAATATTTTTGCTCTTTCCAGAAAGGACTACAGACGTATTATAATGGCAAACATCAACTAGAGATGGGTCAGAGTGACCCACCCGATATTTGTTTCATTAGAATTCTATTGTAATTTAATTGTGGGTGTTGACTTTCTAGATATTCTAGTATTTTCTAGTACACTTTTCAGTAGGAGCAAAGCAGTCGCGGTCAAAGCGACCCGCCTGTAGCAAATACATCATCAATATTTGAATTTCAATGTAGAATAACTTTAGTGTACCATGTAGTATGTATCCCAGTAATACTGTGAATGAAAATATAATAAAAAAAAAACTGATATCATGCATAACTATAATGCAGTAGAGTTATATATGAATCCTTTAAATCCACAAGAATTCTAGGTATTCTTTAATAAATTATGTAAGAGTTGCATTGTTCACATATATTGTTTTAACAATGTACCTCGAATGTGCAACCAAAAAATTCCCGAAATCTTTGAATTCTGATTGCAAATATCATGCAGGCTGTTGAACAAACTCCTATATACAAAAGAAAGAAGTGTTTTTTTTACAAGCAAGAGCGACAAGAAAGCAGGAAAGTTTTATTTCATAAGCAAAAAAAACAATTTGTTCTACTTGCTCAAAAAAATGCCCAGACTGAATAAAATTGGTTATAATGATGTTAAATTCATTAAATAATAACAATTAGTCTGTGTTTATTGTATAAATTAATAATTTGTTAATTTTAGCTTATTCATATGAATTAGTTAAATTATATTTTATTTATTTGGACGAATTTCATTGTTACACTTGATTGTG